TTGTTCAAAGGTGTGGTTCAGCTCAGGTATTTCTTTATTGCTTTTTATTTATTTTTTTGTTTTTTGTTTTTTTGGGGTTTTTTTTTGTTTCATTTTTTGTACCAGTAATCAAACTTAAGACCTTGCACTTGATAGGCAGGCATGGAACCACTGAACTAAATCCCCAGCCCACTTTATTGCTTTTTTATTTAGTTGATCTGTCTTTTTGTGAAAGTGAGGTATTGAGGTCACCCACATGATTGTGTTGGTGTTTATTTGACCTTTTATTTTATTTATTTATTTTGGTACTGTGATCGAACTTGGGACCTTGTGGTTGGGAGACATGCAGCTGAACCACTGAGCTGAATCCCTGGCCCTATTTGACCTTTTACATCCAGCAATGTTTGTTTTATGAAGATACATACTCCAGTATTCTGTGCATATATATTTACATATGTTATCTTTTCCTGTTTTTGTTGTTGTTGGACATTTGGAATTTTGACTAAACTGTGTCATAGAAAGCTTCTTTTTTCCTCATGGTTGCTATTCTGTAAGCCTCACTTACCTACATGTTTCTTTTTTTATTTTTTATTTTTTGGTACTGGGGATTGAACTTGGGACCTTGTGTTTGTGAGACAGGCGACAGAACCACTGAGCTAAACTCCAGGCCTCACCTATGTGTTGAACTCTTTCCTCATACTTGGGAAGTTTTCTATAAACAAATTTTTTATTCCGTGTGAGCCATCTTCTGTTTTCTCTGACTCTAGCTTTAGGTTGGTCTTCTTAGTGTCATCTAGTAGCTTTTGGATGAATTTTCTTCTTCTCTTATTGTTTTTAAGCTTTCTCTGAGCTATTTATCATAATTTGCCTTTTTTTCCTCCATTTCAGAAACTTGTCTTCACATTGGTCATTTCTGTAATTTATGAATTCTGTACAATTTTTTTATATCTGGTATTTCTGTCTGATACTTTTTCATGGAGTTTATACCTGTGGTAAATTTGTCATTCATGTTTTTAGCCATTTTGGCCAGCTCTTCCAAATTTTTATTTGTTTCCCCATATCCTCATTGGTCATTTTGTGTGGCAATTCCATGAACTTTTGGGTCATAGCCTCTGAACTTGACAGGTTTCTTTACATCTTCTTTAACCACTTTGTAAAGCTCCACTACTTGGTCTTTATTTTCCTCTCTATTGATCTGCCCTTGGGAGACTTGGGAGATCTTGAGGGCCTTTTGTTGCTTTGTTTTCCCATGTTCCTGTGTGTATGCATATGTGTGTGTGTGTGTGTGTGTGTGTGTGTGTGTGTGTGTGTGTGTGTGTGTGTGTGTGTGTAATTCTCTGTGTGTGCACAGGCTGAAGACTGAGGTCAAGTAGGGTGAGGAGAGATTGTAGTTCATATAAAGAACCTTTCCTTTCAGTAATATGTTTGTGACTTTATTTGTTTAAAGGTATTGTTCACCCCTTCTGCTATTTAGTTTAAGTGGTTTGGACTCTGTCCCTGTGTTGTGAGGAGAGAATTACTATTGGTTATAACAGTGTCATCAGATCTGATCATACATCACTTATATGAGTTACACTTTCACCTGTTATCAGTTACCTTTACAGTTTGTACTGTTTGTTGTTAGCCATTAGTCTGCACTGTGGAAGGAGAGAGGAAGGGAAGAGATGGAGGGACAGGTGGAAGATGTGTAAGTCAGTAGGAGGAGAGATAGGAGAAATAATAAGGAGAAAACATCAGCTCAGGGGTCAGACGCTGTTTTAGGTCTTTTATAGTTGAAGTGGAGGGTTAAAGTTGAGGGTTTTAAGAAGGCATTTGTAGGGGCAGGGCCAGGATGTAGGAAGAGGGAGGTATAATTTGCTGGTAAGGAAAGCTTCAAGATTATTAGAACCTGTTGACTTGTTTGTGTAACTAAAAGGCGAAGAAGAGACAAGGGAAGATGGGCTAGCCTGGATGAGGAAGAGCAAAAAATAAATAATAAAAAAAAAGGACAGGAGGTTAATATGAGAGAAATGTCTGAGGGTGAGCAGAATATAGGGAAGAAAAAACTTGAAAAGAGTTTTTTAAATGGCAGAAACAAGAAAATAGTGTTGCTACAGATAGATGCTAAGTTCAAGGAAAGGAATAGAGAGATGGGAGACAGAAAATAAACAACTCAATCAAAGCCAAAATGAAAAAAAAAAATCTAGCAGGGATCTGGATCCAGCACTCTGAGCAGAGAACATACGTGCAAATCTGTCGTGCCTGCCGTGCCATGGGGCCTGGGTGTCCACACAGGTCCCTTCTGGCCTTAGTTGCAGTCATGTTGCAGGTGGCCTCATGCAGACATGGGTGTGCGCACAGGGTGACTCAGTGGGCGGGTAGTGGGGTGCTGGCCACAGGGTCGTGCTGAGTGCTGGAATGAAGCTTTCCTCTGTTGGGAGCTGGGGCAGGGGTGAGAGAGGCTGGTATAGCAGAGTCTGTCCCAGGAGTCTGGGAGTCTGGCCTCTGCGCGCTAGTCCGGCCCCTCAGGCTGTCTGTGACCGTCTTGTGACACGTGGAGGTGCTCCACGAGGAGCGAGGGGCTGGGGCGTGAACCAGCCACGGCGCACTGCTTCTCCCTTTCAGCTATCCAAATGTTTGGCATGACCTACGTATATCGTCTTTCCTACTAATTTTCTGTTTGAGGATGTCATCCCCTCCCCACTTCAGAATACCTCATTATCAGCATCTTCGATTCAACGCCTCATCTAGTCAGCCATGTTGGATCAAGTCTCATTTACCTTTTGAGTGATTCTTTCCCTCTAGATTGTGAGTTCTACCAGGACGGGAGCCAGAATCCCCAGGGCTCCACAAGGATCTCATTGCCAAGCAGACAATAAGGATTTGCTGAATGAATGAATCAGTGAATGGAGGACAGATGAGTATAAAATGACTGAAACAATCCTCTTCATCCTGTTTCACTGCCAACTGAAGGAAAGAGGAGAGGCCACACCCACAGGCCTGTTGCCCCGCCCCGGCCCGAGGCTGTGGCCTAGGGATGTGCAGTCTGCGCACACCTGCCCGCGAGGCTGGGAACAGGGTGGAGGAAGCTGATGGGGTTGCTTCTCCCAGGCCTCCTCTCCATGGCCAACTCTGGCCCGAACACGAACGGTTCCCAGTTCTTCCTGACCTGTGACAAGACAGACTGGCTGGACGGCAGGCATGTGGTGTTCGGGGAGGTCACCGAAGGCCTGGACGTCTTGCGGCAGATTGAGGTGGCTGGCGGGGCACAGCGCTGTGGGAGGGTGGGCAGGGCTGCTTCTGCCTGGTTGCAGCGGGTGGGTTTCCCCAGCCCCTTCCATCTCCTGTCCCTCACTCCCCTGACCCCGCCGCCTCCTCTTCCTCCCACAAAGGCCCAGGGCAGCAAGGACGGGAAGCCAAAGCAGAAGGTGATCGTTTCTGACTGTGGGGAGTATCTGTGAGGCGGCGCCACCCTGCACCCTCTCTCTCCTGCCTGGGTCTGAGCCGGCACCGAGGGTGTCTTGTGTGAAGCGGGCGGTACTGGGTCTGAGCTCCTCCTCAGGACCACCCGGAGCAGCTCCTCTGCAGCACAGACTGGACTTGCTCTGGGCTTGTACTGGTGCACCGTGAGCCTGGGAGCCATGCAGGTGCCACCTTCCCCACCGGGGGCAGCTGACTGTGTCCACCGGCTTTCCCAGGCGTGCGGTGCCAGGACCCGCCCTGGCCCACCTGAGAACCCTGGCTCTTGTCCTGCAGCCTCTAGCCAGGCCCCACCTAGGGAGGCAGGCGGGGGTCCACATCTTCCCTCTGACCGTCCTGAGGCTAAGCCCCTGGGCACAGAGCATAGAAGTGACAGCCGCGCAGACTGCCTGTCTCCTCTCCTGCTGGGTCAGCCCAGTTCCCCTCTGCTCTTACACAGCCACTTGTGTGTCTAGCAGGTTCCTGTAATTAGTCTCACTAACCTGTCCACTCATTTCACCTTCTGAGCCACAGTCAGAATCAGACCCCTGAAGAATGTCAGCACCTGTTCTTTGCCAGCCGTCGTGCTTGGTACTGGGGAGACATAAGAATCAAGACGATGCCTCCAGCTGCCATCCTGCCTGGAGGTGTAGTCTGGTGCCTTGTCTCACAGCCTGTGGCAGGCTGGCAGGCTGGTACCCTATTCCAGTGGTGGCCCAGCCTGGCCACCTCACTGCATCTCTCACTACCTGAGGCTGAGCCCTGTCCGCACCCCTGGGCTGCTGCCTGCCCCAGACCCCCTCCCTGGAGCTCCTGCGTCAGGGATCTGCTGGGCAGGGCTGCTTCTCATTTTGAGTTGAGATCTGGAGAAGCCTGGAGGGGAGAGGAGAAGCCTGCTGGCCTCAGCCCCAGTGACCCCAGCCCTACCTCTGACACACCCTTAGAGCCTGCTTCTCTGCCTGCCCACGGGCTTCTGCCCTCGCTGGGCCGGGATCGGGCAGGGACCTCATGCCTTCACACAGACGTCCCGCTCACTGCTGATTCATCACAGTGCTCAGAACCGGCACAGTGAGGCCAGGGTAATCCCAGCTTCTCGTGACATGGAGCAGACTGGCCCGAGGCCCTAGGAGGATGGACTGTTCACACAATCCTGTGGAACAAGGCCTAAAATTGAGCTACAAGGAGGACCATGTTACTGAGATTTTGGCCAGGGAGGTGGTAGAGCAGCCATCGGTGGCTTCCCCAGAAGTTACGCACTGGGTCCACCTGTGGCCTTATACTCTTGAGGTCACCTGGGCCTCCAAGGGAAGGTGTCGGTCCACACCCTATCACCCAGCTCCCTCCGCACAGTTCTGCCCTTGCTTTTGCCAGGTGTTGCACAAAGAAGAGAGAGAGCTCCTGGCCCAGTGGCTACTTCGTGACCATGTCATCTGACCCAGGCTGCCTGCCACCTGCTGAGAGGCCTGGTACGTGAGGAGGAGAAAGGCAGGATTGAAGGCATAGACTGCTGCTAAAATCTGTGCTTTTAAATATTTAATAACAGAAAGTTTCAAAATATATAAAAGTGTATAAATCCAATCCCAAGCAGGCATAGAGTATGACCCTAACTGTGCCAGATATCAGGTACAGACGAGTGTGTGCCAAGAACAAAGGCTGGGAGGGCTTGTTCACGCTGGTTACCCAAGTGTTGGGATTCTGGGGTGCTGTAATTTTTTCCCCTGAAATTTTCCCTAGTACACATGTAATGTTTTCTTGTGAGGAAAAAACAAATTTTTTTGGTAAGTAAAAATATTTTTACAGAAGTACTGGGGGCAAGGGGGAAGGTTCAAATGCCTGCTTAGGACTTTCCTGAAAGAAACTTTTGACAGAAAGTCCCCTCAGCTTCCTGTGCAGAGACGGTGAGCACTGCTGTCACTAGCAGCACAGGACCACACCTGAGGGGCACACCTGCCTCTTCCAGTGTCCACACCATGGTCCACCTCCATCCCCAGGCAGGCAGGAGTGCTGGTCTGCACCTCATCTCAAGGGAGTCAAGTTTGAGGAAAAGCATAGCAAGCACAAGGTAAGGAGGTGAGCAGCAGCCCTGGGCACATCCTAGAGGACGTTCCTAGGAAGGCAGGTGGCCCAAACCTCAAGTCCAAGGAGAGCGGGGTTCTCTGTGGGCACCTCTGACTCGAGGGAGGCCGCACAAGGGCAGGGTGGGGGCCAGGGCAGGCTCAGGGTGGTGGCTGGAGTCAGACTGTCCTGTCCACAGCCGCCTTTCTTGTGGCACATCCCCCACTTCACTACATAAAGACCAAAAGTAGGACTTCGCAGGCTCAGCTGGACATCACAGGGAAGCTGTCCATGGGGTTTGCCCCATACCGAGCCCCAGCTTTGTACCCCACCTCCCCGTAGTGTTTACTTACTGCTCTTGGGGCACCGGGGTGACCACCCTTAGTGTTTCAAGTAATGTGCAGTCTCGCGTGTAACCCGGGCAGCCAGATGCAAGCAAAGAACCAAGTAGCTTTGGTAACAACACTGACACCTCGCAGGTCACGTCCAAAGCCATTTCCCTTTTCGACCTTGTCTACTGGATGTTATTTGGTGGCTGCCTGGATGGCTAATGTGTGAGGAGCGTGGCTGTAAGGCACAGACACTGCACTTGGGGTGTGCTGAGGAAAAAGGAGCCACACCCCGATCGTCATGTTCCTGTTTTGCACACCTCCTAGTAGGCAGGACAGAGTTCAAAACATTCACTTCACACACTTTCCTGGTGCCTCCGGAGCATGGCAGGTTATTTGCTGGGCACTGAAGAGATCGAATGCTGGCCCTTGTCTCATGGCTCCCAGGTCTGCTTTCTGACATTGGGAGGAGGGAGCGTTGGACAAGTTCCCAAGTCCCATGCCGGGGTGTTAGGCTGTGGGACAGGAGAGGGTCAGGATGACAGAAGGTTGAAAGAATGACCTTTTGCCTAAACCCTGCTCCTTTCTCCAGAGTCAAACAGGCTGTGTCTGTAGACCCTGGTGGCACAGCCCCGGGGGACAGTTACACTGTGTGTCCTTCCCTGTTCCCTTCCTGCTGCGTGCCTTGATGGGAGCGCTATTTGCCCACCTTCTCTTCCTGTTTGCCTTCCACTATAAAGAAAGAACATGGTGCTCCATGCCGCCATTAGCTCCTGACCAGCTATGATTCTGCGTGGTCCCAAACTTTAAGAGTAATCTTGGTCCCTTCATCTCCCTCTGCTCTCTCCAGCTTCAAATCCTAATGATGTGTCTGGTGGCAGCAGAATCCTGTCAGTTTGGAATGGAACGTCCCCCAACAGGCCACGGATTAAAAGTCGCAGTCCCCAGCTTAGCACTATTCGGAAATGGTAGACTTCGAGGTGGGGCCTAGTAGGAGGTCTTCCAGTCACTGCGGGTGCTTGGAAGGAGGCAGGAGGATCCAAAATCCCTCCTCTCTCTCTCTAGTTTCTCAGCCACCGAGAGGGGAATAGCTTTGCTTGGCCTCTTGCTCCCCACCATGATGCACCGCCTTGCCACAGACCTCAACAAACCATGGACTGAAAGCCGGAGAGGGTGAGCTAAAACAATCCTTTCCTCCTTTTCATTGATTATCTCAAGGTTTGATGTGGTTGATGTGTGTGTGTGTGTGTGTGTGTGTGTGTGTGTGTGTGTGTGTGTAGTACTGGGGAGTGAACCCAGGTCCTTAGGCATGCAGCACAGGCTTGATTGTCTCAGGTATTTTGTTACAGTAACAGAAAGCCAACTGTCACAAGTCCTATGGCTTCATGTCACAGACAGGAGACCTAAGTTTGGAGACGAAAAGGGACTGTTCAAACACTAAGTTTGCATCCTGTCTAACCCCTGCCAATCTCTGAAGCCCTCAGCTCGGGGCGGGGAACTCACCACCTTCCAGACTGCCTGGGCCCACCTTTGCATATGCAGGAGGGTGCCTTCCTCTGCACTCCCACGGGGAGGTCCCGATGGAAGGGGCTGCTGTCCTGCAGCGTGGCCCCAGCCTCTGCCCTACAGCCATACCTGACATCCTCGAGACCCCTCCTTGGGCACAGAGCACAAACTCCAGCGATGTGTATCTCAGGGCTCATGGGTGGGTCCACTGGGGGTGGGTATGGACAGGGGCAGGGCCAGGACCTGCTCTTAATGACAGTGCAGGCAGCTGGACTCTGTCTGTTCTAGCAGGTAAATTACAGACTCAGCAAGTGTGAAACCAAATAAACTCCAACTCCCAGTGGCTGCTCCAAGAAGAACAGTGGTTTCTGCAAACTGTGAGGCTGAGACAAAGCTCCTCACCCAACCCAGCCAATTACCACCTGTCACGCCCCTGGGAGAGGGGCCTTTTCTTTGTCTCACAGGTGCAAGAAACAGGACAGGGTTGCTGGGCACCGAGGGTGATGCAGACTTTGGTGACCAGCCTGTTCTTGATTCCGAGACCTAAGCAAACACTGACATTCCTTACCCTTGGCCCACACCTGGCCAGAGGCTGCCCAGTCACCATGCCCTGGGTGGAGTAGACTGCTCCTCGCCTGGCAGTGGCCGTCTGCAGTCTGGGCTGAGGGTGTGGACACCTTGGTCAGGTGTGAAGAGATCCCAGGTAGATGACTGATGTTGGCCGCAGGCACAGGGAAGCACTTGGTGACACCTGCTGTGTGCCAGCCTGGGCCGCCACTGCAGTCAGTGCCCTTGCCTCTGCCCAGAGGTAACTCTGTCAGTGCTCATCTCCAAATGGATCGATGTGGTAGAGAACCCAAGGTCCTTTGCTGCTCTAGGAGTCCTGCTCTTCCCCAGGCGGAAGGGCAAAGCAAAGGAAGACATGTGCTGTCTCGGTTCCCCATGCTTCACCATCAGTCGTGGGGCCCAGCCAGCTTCTCTTTCTGATAAGCTAAATGTGCCCATGGCCCAAAGTAGAGGAATCTAAAAACACACTGTACTGAGGCCACGCGCAGATCTAACTATGCCCCGGAAGTGTCCATGTGCTGCACTAGGAAAGAGCAGAGCCATCCCGCCCACACTCAAACCCTGTGGGGAAAGGCAGCCTAGGGCTCTAGCAGCTCTCAGACCTGGCAGGATTGGCCCCAGTCTGGGCCGAGAAGGCATAGGAGGGCCTAAGGTAGGACTTCAGTGCAGACTCCGGACAGTGCAGTCAGGACAGCTGTGCACAGCCCCACGGGGAGGGGGAAGGGGCCAGGAGAGGACCCGAAGCCTGACAGGAAGTGACTGGGAAGTGAGGGTCCAACTACTCCTGTCTGAGATGTGACAGCATCTCAGGATTGAGGATTTCCTGCCTCTACAGAGGGTCCGGATCCGGAGAGGGACGGCTGCAGCGGAGCAGGTGAGCGGGGCCTCAGTGGCAGCCACAGGCCTTGACCACCATGTTCCGGTGTTTACGCAGGATGACGTTGTTGCTGCTGTCATAGTAGAGCACAGAGGTGGCACTCAGCTTGGTGGGTGCACAGCACGCCTTGGGAACTGCATCTGGCTTCATCAGGTGCACCTGGCCAGGGAGCGAGCACAGGCAGGGACGGGAGCCTGGAGGCCTCCTCCAAGGGCCCACCCGGCCCCCTCCCAGGTCCCGCATGCTGTCGCCCGTCTTGCAGGTCTCCGTCCACTTGCCTCTGCCAAGGTCATTCTACACCTGCAGCCAGGTGCACCTCTGCCCTGCCCACCACCCTCAGGGCACTGCCAGGCACCTGGCACAGCCATCCGGTCCCGAACACCTGCCCCTCAGCTCTCCAGGCCCCTCGGCCACCCCTAGCCACACTGACTACCCCAGATGTGACGACCCTGTGTGTCCCCAGCACCCCTGCACCTGGGCACCCTCTGCTTCACACTCTTCTCTGTGCTATAACTACATCCCCGACGGCTCCCGACATGAGCTGTGGACGGGTGGTCTCCCCTCCAGACTGAGCCAGGAATGAGCACAGAGCCAATGGAGAGGTCCTAGGGCTCCAGAGACCCCTGGACGTGTTCCCTGCTCCTAACAACTCCCAGGGCAAAGATTATTCTTTGAAGACAATGAACTGAGGCACCGAGGCCCGAGGCCCGTGGTGATCTGTGCATCTTCAGGTCCACAGGAAGGAACCAGGAGGTGCCAGCTGCCTGTGATGGCCGATGGGCCCTGAGCAGCCACAATCCAGACAGGGCCGTCCCTGAGAGGGAACCCTGGAGAGGAGTCGGCCTGGGTGTTGCCATTCGTGGCTCCTCCACAGCTCTGGCTTCACCAGATGGGCAGCACCGAGGGGAGCGGCCTTTAATCCACCCGGTATCACAGACCGACTCCGGTGTGCAGGGTCCCGTACGGCCACTTGTTTGTTCCACTGAGGAGTTTTGTTTGTTTTCCTTTTGCAGTGCTGAGGACTGAACCCAGGGCCTTTTCAATGCTAGGCAAGGGCTCTACCAGTGACCTGCACCCCATGCCCCGTTTCATTCATTTTTGAGTCACACTGTGTGTGGGAAATGAAATCAGAAGTTGTGGCGCTTGTGGATGTGCATCTTTGGGGACGATCCCATGCCCGGGGGACACAGCCTTCTCGGCCAAAAGTAGAACCACACTTCTCATTTCCAACATACATATTTGAACATGAGCCAGGAGGGGAGCCCAGGACTCCCAGGCAGTGAACGGCAGCATTTCACGGACACACACAGCAGTCCAGTAACAAAAGCAGGCCCTCAGCACCCTGCAGCAGGAGCTCTGGGGACAGCCTGACTCAAAAGGACCCCTGGGGCTGGACGTGATGGTGCAGGCCTGAAATCCCAGTACTCAGGAGGCTGAGGCAGGAGGATTGCTGTAAGTTTAAGCCTAGCCTGGGCTACATAGTGAGTTCAAGGCCAGCCTGGACTACATCGTGAGACCCTGTCTCAAAAGGAAAGACACATGGAAGGGGGTTGCTGGACAGGGTGGCTGAGGGGCTGCACGTGACAAGCCAGGGACCCAGAATCCTCTGGAATAATCGGAAGGGCACAGTGTCCTGGCTGAGAAGGGTGTGAGCAGGTGCGGTTGTGGCAGGAAGACCCCCTAGCTGCCGTGTGGACAGAGGCCCTGGGGGTGGCCTGGAGGGCCCCCAGGACCTCAAGGTTCCCTCCCCTTCCTCACTGACCAGGCCCACGGCTGCTCTTCCTGCCCAGACTCTTGGGGCTGCTGCCTGTCCCTGACGTTGTCTGTCCTCGGGACTTAAGACCATCCATGAGCCACATCTCTCAAGACGCTGAGTCTCTCTCAGGACCTTTCTGTTCCACTCCACATGCACAGGACCCCCTGCACACCCGACCTCACCATGTGGAGTCTGACCTACATGCCTGGGTCCCCAGAGAGCGCCTCTCTCAGCTGCTGTCACCTCTTTCCCAACTGCCAGGCCCTGTCCTCGGGGCCCCCACCGACAAGCCAGGGCGGGATGGCTGCGGTACTGACCAGGGACTGCAGGATGGCATGGTTGGTGGCGTTCATGCAGGAGTCCAGCGGGAAGGAGCACTCTCCCTCACAGTAGTAGGCCGAGTAGCCTTGGGGGGCGATGACCCAATCCTGGGGGAACCGGTGTTGAGTCCCATCGTGTGCTCCCAGAGCTCCCAGCCCAACTCCCGTCACGGGAGGACCCGGGCAGCCCATTCCCTCCCTGAGCCTCAACGCCACCAAACCCACTCTCGGCACCCTGGCCGTGTCCCCGAGGCTGAATCCACCTAGCAACCCTCAGCACACAGGCCTGGGCCTGAGCTCCGTCCCCTCCGCACCCTGGCCGCCTCTGCTTCCTCCTCCCCAGCCTGTCTCTGTCCTGCCCACTCCAGCCTTCCTGGAGCTGCAGCTGCAGCAAATGCTCAGAGGTTCGGCCCACCTGGCCTCAGTCTCCCTTTTGCGGCGCTGAGAGTTTAGTTAGCTGAGGGCTCGGGAAGTCCCCATTTTGGTGGGTTTTGTGTATATAAACCACGAAAGCCACACAGTCTACTCCTCCCTCGTGAAGGTGACCCTGGAGACCCACCAGGGCAGTCAGGAAGGAGTCGGACTCACCAGCCAGCCCAGGTCCTGGAAGCTGACGTAGAGCTCGTGCCGCCGACAAACCTGTCGGCCGTGGGAGCCGTGGACGACATCTGCACAGACAGACAGCACAGGTCATTTCTGGGGTTCCTGCTCGGTGAGGGACACACTCAAGGGCACATTGTCACATAAAGGAGCAACAGGAAATGCAACCCTCGGTTCTCAGGGATCCCAGCCCTCGATCCCTGGTCCCCCAACCCCAGCTCAACAGCGTTCGGTGGCTCCTGATTCCTGCAGAGCAGCACCATGCTCATCCAGACCTGCCTCGTCTTTCAGCCCAAAGGGCTCTGGCCCCTCCGCCAGGCACCACACAGCACCCTCAGCCGTCGCACGGCCTCTCCTGCTTCCCTCTGGAGTCACCTCGGGCTGCAGCCCACCCTCTGGGCCACTCCAGCCCCAGAGGGTCAGGGGCTCAAGGGGGCCCTCGCGGTGAGGGAGGCCTCAGGCCCAGGCCCGGCCCAGCCCTCACCAAAGATGCCTGGCAGTTTGTTTGCGTGCGGCAGCTCGTTGGTTTTCTTCGGCTGCCTCCTCTTTAGGGGCCGCGCTGCACGAGGGGCACGGATGGAACTCGGGCTGGCGCTGAAGAAGGTGACCATGAAAGGCTGTCTGGCGCGTGCTGCCTGTCGCCCCAGCAGACCGGCCAGGCCAGGGTCCACGCTGTGCCCTGAGAGAGACAGAACAAGGGTCACTCACGGGGGTTTTCCTGTCACAGACACACAGCAGGGACTTCTGTGCTCTGAGGACCTGGGGGACCGCTGAGCCTCAGTTCCCTCATCTGAGGCCAGCTAACTTCAGCCTTGGCTGTCTGGAGGACAGGTCTGGGAAGGGGGTACGGGGTGCACAGGTATCACAGTCAGGGATAGGTGACCCAGACATTTGGGAAGCGTAATCCAGCTTTCAGTTTCCCCCACTAATTCCCTAGCTAGACCTTACAGCACCCAATATTTTGCACTGTACAGAAGACCCATCAGGGCCCTTCACCGATGAGGAGAGTCCACTGCTGATAAATT